CCACCACCACCAGCACCAGCAACACCGTCACTGCGCAGCTTGTGAATCAAAGCATAGAGCTGTAGGTCTAATCATATTCCTTTTCTGAGTTGTTGCAGCGGAACCGTTTTGCAAGTAGAGCATCTTCAATCAACGACCTATATCTGGTATAAGTCCGCATGGTGGACTAGTAACCACAAACCAACGAGTCCCACTGGCCAAGAAACAGATCCTGGACCAGGAAAAAGAGCTTCTTCACATCGAGCGTCAGCAAATGTAGGTCCGTGCTCCTGTGCACAACTTTCCAGGCACAGGATGTCTCTCCAACTCAACAGCAGTAAGCTCTTCGTCTGCCAAGCCTCGAAGCCCACAGTGACATGTCCTACCAACCTGAATCTGGTGCACAGCAGGAGCTCCTCGCAGAGCCTTTAAGCCGACTGACGCCCTTCACAAGCTGCTCAGCTGTGATGCCTCCATCTTCTTGCACCATGTCGAACCTTTCGCGTCGCTCCACTCCACGACAGCTGGACTTCTCTCAGAGATGCTCGTCGAGGGCCTAATCCCTGCAGGGTCTCCCTAGTATGTCCTTGCAGAGGTGTAAAAGACTAGCTAGACCCTATAGGGTGCACTCTATTGCGTGGTATGACCAATGCCAGCAGCATGCCATTTCCAGACGATAAGGCGCAGAGGGAGCAGAGAGTGAGCATAGCATGCTGTTCGATATTCTTGAGCTTGGGAACACCATGTTAGGATCCGAGATGTGGAGGTCCATGGCGGCAAGCCAGTTGACGATCTCCGGATCGGTCATCCTTGCGCCCAACTTCAAAAGTCAACTCATTCGGAGAAGTCAAGGGGAGAAAACCATCCAGGCTTTCATGTTGGGGAACTTGTGAAGGGGATGCCTTGGAGCCCTCGCAGCTGTCGAGTTTGTCGCTTCTCCACAAGAGGTTTGTGTACGGTTTGCTCTCGGCGTTGTCGACTAACGATGGTGCACCGTCTCCGAAGTCACCTCATGCTCGTTGGGAATCCCGTGTTGGATTCCTGTAATATAAGTTGTTGAGTCGTCCCTGGCCCTGGGTTGAAATTCTGAAGGGGTCCACCCCTTCATGCTGCTTCGACCTTCAAGCCAAGGAGCACTTGGATGAACTCCTCCTGATCCAAGACGCCATCGCCTGTCTCGTCTGCTGCCTGCCGGGAGCTTGGGAGGCACGTGGTGAAATAGGAGTGTGAAGTGTCCACCACATGCTTCTCTCAAGGATCCATGGCAGAATTGACACCCAGCCCTGAGCCTCAAACAGTGACTTCATCTTCTTGATGTGCTGGTGTCGCTTCTTCTCCGTGTTTCCTGGGCTTGGCCACGGTGACCGAGAGGGAAGGCAGGGCTCGCGTCGCGGGGAACTGGATCTCACCCTACATAACCAGCCAGACTTCTGTAGACGCAAGAGGCCGCACACAAGCATTAGTCTCGATTTGAAGCCAAAACAAGCCACCAATTACCATGAAGATCAACACTAGCATTGTAGCTGGGGTGGCCGGGTTGAGCTGTTCGCACATTCAAGTGGCTGGCATGACAACTATTTATGTTGTTGCCGTGGTTTTCTCGGTATTGACAAGCCGCAAGACATGCTTGAGCAGACACTCGCAAACATCTTCTGTATGTACTTGATGTTGCTCATCAGTGTGCAAGTATCATTGCAACCAGTATTTGCGGGGGGGGGGAGGTGGAAGGTTGGGGGTAGTTACTTACATTTAAAACCGTTGTGCCAGGGAGAGATTGTCAGCTAAAGTTCTACTGTGGGAATTAAGTGAGGATACGAAATTTCAACTGAAAGCCGTTCCTGCATGAGCATAGTCACAACCATTGCGTGCGATCCAGCTGAAATTTGTTGAGATGCCGTTACGCCTTGATTAACGGTTAAGGCTTTCCGCTTGTCAAGCTGCGCATCATGATCTTGTCATCATTGTCTGCTGCCTGGAAGGTTTCCTTGAGGAACACGCCGTTGATCACCGCAATCAGAGCATATCCGATGGTGATCTGAGGCAATGAAGTAACACACATCAGCGAAACCCGTCCAGTGCATCCGTGGTTGTCATATCCCGGAGCAGTTAGCAATCTGCTGATTCTGAAACGGCGAGTACTTCTGGAAACCCCAAGGTAACCTGCGCTCGCAGTTCTTCGTCGAAGCCGATGTCGTCGCGGGACCCGGACCCTGAGACTTCATCCCCGCCCTCCCTGCCCGTGAGGGCACCTTGTGAATAATGGAGAAAGCGGTGAAAGCTTCAGACACATGGTCCTGCAGAAGCCTAGGCACGGGGACGCAATATTTTGAGTAGGCATCTGGCTCCATGCTTCGAGGTTCAGGGCTTTGCGCATCGCTTAGCAGACCCGTGTCTCCAGTGGCCTTTGTTGAGACACAGCCTATGCGAGATGAGCAGCAACATTCGACACGTTCAATCGCGGAACAGACCGTCAAAGGGTCATGCCACGATTTGACAAGACATCCGTTTGGCAGAAAGCATTTGGATATCATGGTCGACTGCTCCCCTCTCTGGCGTAGACCGATAATATTGAGGGTGGTGATGTGTCACTCATACTCACGCTGGTGTTGGAGATGCTGCTTTTGTGGGCAACGGTGATCATGATGATGCAATGATAGTGATGACCGGGAAGACGATGCTGAGCCGTTATCCCGCCAGGATGCCGTGCCACTGGAGGCCAATTTCCAAGAGTGATCTCCTTGATGTGTCAATGCTGGGCACTGCAACTACAAGCCGATCCCCGAGTTCGATGCAACGCTAAACCCTCAGGTGCCTCAAAGCTCGAGTTTACTTCGGACATCAGGCTTCTGGCAACCTGACTGTTACAGCCTTGTAGGGCTTGTGGTGCAGTGCAAGTTGACATTCCGGATTCCGGAAACCTTGATGATGTGCCCACAGGGAGTCAACGAGCAGATCAACTCAGTTCGGAAGCCCTCTGCTCCACACTCTGATGTCACAAGGCTGGTTCGAACGAGAAGCTAGCCGTCTACCAAGGCTACCTTTGCCGCTTCAGCTTGCCTGTTTCTCCTGTCCCATCTAACTGACAGTCTTCGCACAAGCAAGCAACATGTCCACGGCATCGCGCTTGTCTAAGCCGCTCAGCGAACACCAGTCCGCACACCGTCATACCAGCACGAAAGCTGCTGCTGCGGACTCTATCTGCTACTTCCACGTGAGCTGCTCTCTCGTGCGTTTCGCGTGCCTGCGCTTAGTCTTGGACGAGCATCGAACATGGTCAGCAAACACCTGGAGCAAGTTCCAAAGTAGAGGAAGAGCTCGTTGTTTTCAGCCATCAAGACCTGGTTCGCGATGTTCGACTCGATCGAGTCGGAGACGACCCTCTGCCTCAGAACCACAGACGCTCACCAAGTCGGTAGCCAGGACTCAGCCAGGAGATGCCGGGCAATGCAGGTCATACGCAAGGCCATGAAAGAAAAGGGTCACTGCGATGGAAAGAAAGATGTGCACCGTTCCCATCAGTCCCATTATCATCCCGACCATTCCCAATGCTCTCTCGCTAAGCAAGCAGACGGAAGTGACTGAACCACGCTACTGAATCGTGCAGATCGACCACACCAACATAACACCTCTCTTCAGACGTCCTGGATATTCTCAAAGGCACAAGAAGAGCGCAAACATCAGCTGCAATAAGAAGAGCCTTGGATGAGAAATGGACCCGGGCAGCTTGCACTTGCATGGACAGAAGTGACACGGGGTTGTTCAACACGTATTCTACTCTCGACTGGACAAATACACCGGGAAGGCGGCATTGTTGCCGAGGTGGTTCAGCCAGTTATGTTTCTGGACATTTACATAGCCCATCCTCATCCGGAGCTGCCAAGTTGCATCAAGAAAGACCATAAAAGAACCTGAGCACAAGTGCTGCGAGCATGGTGATAGGGTGTTGCAGTACAGTTTCACAACGAGCTCGCGAGCTCTGCGTCCATGTGTGCATCCGGGACTTGCTAACGATCTCTTGGATTGGGTGTGCTCAAAGGCTTTAGCGGATGAGGCTGCCTATCAAGACACCGGTTAGGATCCTCAGGCCTTTATGTCGAACTTACAGGATTAAAGGACCCTTTGGACAAGAAGCCGCTCGACAACACGGTCCTTAAGTCCAAAAACACTGAACCTACCAAGGGATGACAAATTAAGCCGGAGCAATACATGACAAGGAAAATCAATCTGATGGTCATACCGATGATGGTAAGGATGATTTTGGGGATCGTGGTGATGCTGGCGGTGCCGAAGTCGACGGTGATGCAGCCGAAGAAGAACGATGATGTGATTATGATGATGATGATGACGACGATGATAGTGAGAATGGCGGTGGGGATGATAAAGGTGCCATGGTAGCGATGAACTTGACAACGATCTTGAGAACGGTTGCCCTGCCAATGCATCATGGCAGGCAAGCGTGCCATGGTAGTTTGATGGAATCTTCTTAATGTGCAAGTGGAGGAGCTGTCACGCTGCCACGGAGAGCGGTGGTAAGTATGTAGAGAGCCTCAGACTCCAGGGAACTAATTCCGTTCAGCCTCTGCGTGCGCATCAAGCTTCCTGCCTGGTACTGTATACCGCTTCTGTTGTCGGCGACTGGGACAGTTCAACGGGTTGAGGCCGTCACCGCATACTGGGGCCAACGTCTGATGTGGAATCACACTGGTTTGCTTCTCTCTAGCATCCAGTTCCCAGTAGCATATACTGCTGAAGCTACCGTAGTGCCTGTGCGTCGCATTAGCATGTGTCCTAAATCCAGAACGCACTATTCCATATACGCTTCTCTTGCGACTTTTCACAGCAGTATACCATTCCCCGATGCACCTTGCTGTACTATGCTGTAGTAGCAAGCCGACGAAGAAAGGAAAGGCGCTTTAAAGCTCGAAAGTGCTAGTTTCAGGCATCTGGATCACATGAACTACTGGACTACCGTGACGGCTTTGCCAAATTCTGCCGCAGAATCTCCGATCTCGGAAAACGCATGGGCTTTACTCATTGACACTCATCTTGCAATCTTGCACAAGGTGTTGTAATTGTAAGAGGCTACAGTATGCATTGGAACTCCTACCGCGTGGGAGTGTGCCAGTGGAGATTTTGATGCCGTGGAGGGGCTGTCAGGTGGAGTCGACCGTGGACTCTTGCATAAGGAGTCTGTGACCTTCCGAGCAGCGTCGAACCCCTTCAGCTTCCTCACCAAGCGCATGAGGCGGAGGAGGCGGGCCAACCGCGCAAGACGCAGCAGCATAGGATCCACGGGAAGAAGTCCTCCAACACAGGTGCAAGTTCCAAGGACCCGCTGATGTGGGCTAAGAAGAACGTGGGTTCGGGGCTTCCGATCCGTGTTGCCCTAGTCACGAGATTCGTTGTTGATTGTCACGATGCTGCATTCCCACCACGTTCTGCCTGAGAAGACGGTGTCGACGAACCATGCAACAACCTCAAGCATTGGTGGTTTTCTCTGGTTCCAGTCAGAGTCCTTCTTGTCACCCTTCCAACTTACATTCTGTGCTGCTGCGGGGGGCTTCAGGGATCCCAATCAAACAAACCTGTGACCGCTGCATAGCCGGAATAATCAACACATTCATTGCTAGTGCACTTGCTTGAACTGCCAAGGTGCTTGCCTAATGACTTTCATCTGACAAATGTCAACCCTACCCTTCGAAGTCTCCAGGATGCACCGTGATACTCACGCAGCCTTCGAAGTTAAGAAGTACGGCATGCGGACTCAGACCCATTCGAGAAAGGGTGCCCTTGATCTGCAATTAGACCGGACCTTGAACGTCCAGTCTCGAAGAGTTGAAATGGCTACGACTTCCGACAAGGAGCCATAATGGTGTCGAAATAATTCCAGAAGTCTCGCAGGAACTCGCACTTCATGCCAATCTGGGCGATGTGACAACATCACTACTGGCCGCTACCCTGTACCACTCACTATGCAGCAAAGCAGACCGGCTTTTGCCTTTCCTGACTCGCGCCAAGCCCAAGTACTCGGACGATTGACTGCTTGTCGGACCCAGGATGTGGTGTCTGACAGTCTCTCTACATGGGCTTGTCCTTGACAGAGCACTGCCGCTTTTAACCCCAAAGCGCAGCACGTCCAAGGAGCAAGCCGCCTTCACTAAATATTTTGTGCTCATTCTAGCCCCTCAGTCAGATTTCATAGGTACCCATTGACCCAAGAAGCGGAAACTAAAAACCATTCAGGAACTTTGGAACAGTCTGGCCACCGCCTCACCTCCAACCTGAAGAAACACTGAGCTCCGAACGACTTTCAAGATCAGCTCCGCGGCAAATATCGGTCCGAAAAACCACTCCTGAATTCCGGTATCAATTCTGGATGATCTGTCAGAAACCCTAAGTGGCAGCTACTGCATAGTGTGCATGCAGTCAACACAGCTTCGGGGACTTACCCACGGTTTGGCAATGTTCGTATATTGCCGCTGATATATCGTTGCTGCTGTAGCATTAGCCAGCCAGGACGGAGACTGTGGGCACTCGCAATGTTGGATTCTAGAAAGAAGCATCTTAAGCTACTGTCCCAACGGGCTCCACCTGCCGAGACACAAGCATAAGTACGCAACTGTGATGGCATGTCGACCCTTCGCCACTTTCAATACGTGCTGTTACCAAATGCAAAACCCCACGGACGCCCCCATTGGTAGAATTTGCGGTCATCGGTTGAAGCCATCTATATAAATGCTGCAAGGAAATCCACATCGATCGGTACTGCGGCAACACATTTTCCTGAAGGGATCAAAGTTGAAAGCCGCCAAAACCGCAAAGAAAGAGGTCAGGTCCTGCCTCGCAGGGTGCTTTTAGATGGTTTCTCTGTTCAGCTCGCCTGGACTCCTGGACGATGGGCTCCGATAAATCCCAGACATGCGAATGAGCGGCAGAAGCCACGAAGACGTCAGCTGCACCCGGCCACAGCTCCGTCCCAGGAGCATTGTAGGTTCGTATGCCTCCGGAACGCTGCAGAATCATAGCAATTCATGCCATGCTGATGATAGTAGGAGAATCAGCAGACCACCAAGGCATGACAATGGCATTGAGTGCAGTCAGTAGAAGGTACTATCATCAATGCATGAGAACAGTGCCCGATTACAAAGAGACGAAGGTTATCGCAAGAAAATAGCAAACTGAGTTGTTACTATTTTTGTTGCTGCTGAGGCTGCTGTTGTTGCAGCGCATCAATCGTGCTGGACTGGTCTGTGCTGAGAATTCCATAAGACGCTAGTTTAGGAGTCGAGGCACTTCACTCTCTGCTTGCTTTTGCTCTAAGATTGCTTGCATGTTCCGGCTGTTATGTTGAACTCTAGCTATTGACACTAGACTGCGTTCGCTGCAGTATCACGGCTGCGGGCTGCGGGTGCTGCTGCTTCTGCTACCGAATCCCGCTACCATTACTACTTGTCACTACTTTAACTGCTGCAAATGAAAGTTTTCTCTGTCTTACTTGGTAGTAGCACTCGTCGTAGCAGTAGTCGCCGTCGTCGTTGTCGTCGTCGTCGTAGTAGTAGTAGTAGTAGTAGTAGTAGAAGTAGTAGAAGTAGTAGTAGTAGTAGCAGCAGCAGCAGCAGTAGTAGCAGAAGCAGCAGCAACAGCAGCAGTAATAGTAGCAGTAGCAGTAGTAGCAGTAGTGGTAGTGGCACGTGGTCGTGGTAGCGGTAGTGGTACTGGTAGTGGTAGCATCAGCAGCAGTAGTAGTAGTAGTAGTAGTAGTAGGAGTAGCAGTGGGAGCAGGAGCAGTAGGCGAGGCGTAGGAGTAGGAGTAGGAGTAGGAGTAGGAGTGGTAGTGGTGGTAGTAGTAGTAGTAGTAGTAGGTCGTAGTAGTAGTAGGTCGTAGTCGTAGTCGTAGTNNGTGGTGGTAGTGGTAGTGGTAGCAGTAGGTGGTAGTGGAAGTAGTAGTGGTGGTGGTAGTAAAAGTAGTAGTAGTCGTCGTCGTCGTAATAGTCGTCGTAGTCGTAGTAATAGTAGTAGCAGAAGTAGTAGTAGTAGTAGTAGTAGTAGTAGTAGTTATAGCAGTACTACTACCACTACCACTGCTGCTACTACTACTACCACCACCACCACGACGACTACTACTACAACTACAATTACTGCTGCTACTACTACTACTACTACTACTACTACTTCTCCTGCTACTTCTACGTCTACGTCTACGTCTACAACAACAACAACTACTACTACTACTACTACTACGACGATTGAGGCGATTAAAGCACGACGCGGAAAGGAGTGGATGCTTTGCCTCCACAGCTGCGTCATCCAAAAGTCTGAATGAAAGCTTGGAGCCCTCTGGCAAAAGGTCAACGCTGCTTTTTGAAATCTACCGAACAACACGAACAGACACACACACACACACCCGTGCGCGCGTGCACACACACATGCACACAGACACACAGAGACACGCACACACACACACATACACACATGTAGAAACATGTCCAAACAAGCATGAAGAAGCACGTCTCAAACGGTAGTTAGATAAGTCGACGGATTGGTAGCTACCTAGGCTGGAGTGGATAGATAGGCACATAGATGGATACACGCAGATAGATAGACAAACAGATAGATAGATAAGTAGGTGATAAGTAAATAAGTGCTGCTGTAAACTGGGAGGATGTAGACAGTGATGAGGTTGGCACGCAGGTGCATTTCTGTGCACATACCCTGCCGCGCACGCGCATCACACATGCAAATGCATGCATGTGCAGGGGAGGAACAGAAAACTCAGCTGGCCTAAGTCGTAGCCCAGCCTGAGGCCCGCCTAGAAGCAGGCATGTCTGCAAGAGGCACTCAACCGTCTCTTCTACCCAACATTTCCATTCAGGTGATTGTGGGCTTGTGACCGGGGAATTTGTCGGTGCCGGTGATTCGAAAGGCAGGCCGCGATGGTACGAGTCCGGATGCCTTGAGGAAGGTTACTTTCATGATCAGCGACACATGCTTGAAGCGCAGACCACCTCATCACCACAGGCAGCATCAACATCCGTTGGACCATGGTGGACATCATGGACATGGTCCTAATGATCGTCGGAGTCATGGTCATCGTTGCCGTCATCACCACCATCAACATCATCAGCGTCGGGCTCAGCATCATGTTCGCCATGATCCTCATCTTCGTCAAAAGGCAGCATCGTGGTGGCCGGCGGGCCTGTCACCAGCGTCACCGTCATCATTACGTTCATAGTCATCCTCATCATCATCATCACCACCGTCGTCATCTTTACCACCCTTACAGGTTCCCATCGACGTTTTGCAGCCATGTGCATAGTCATGATGACGGCCGCCGTCGTTATCACGGTCAGCATGCTACAGGCATGTTAATCGTCAGTGCCATCATCATCACCATCATCATCAACAACATCTCCATCTCTTGATTTTGTGCATTCCCTAGACTCCGTCAATAATCCAGCATGCGAGCTAGCTCCTAAGGCGCCTTGGGGCTGAGCATCGAGGGCCCAGGATTCAGTAGTCTGAGTCTAAGGGTTGGAGGCTTGCTGCTACACGCAGCAAGCGGTTCGAAAGCCCAGCTGCATGTTGCGCTTCGAACGACATCACAATGGAGTTGATCACGATGAGAACACAGATGACTGTCTCAAACCTCAGCCAGTTTCCATCGACGGGAGCTACCTACCTTGCATCTGAAGAAGCATCGCCTGAGCTGCAGAAAGACAATCCATTGAACGGAACCCGACAGACCAGGGGGCATCGGGTCAAAGACGAACTTGAAAATTCCTTTGGGTGTCTCCGCCTGACAAGCAGTTCCGGCCGACGGTGCGTTTCAAGCACGACTTATGATTCATGCTTGCTGGCCTTCTACTAATATCTCCGTAGATGTACGTATTGGATGTGGTATGCGTGTAAGTGTAAATATACATGTGTATATCAGTATGTATATATATATGTATGTATGTATGTATGTATGTATGCATGTATGTATGTATATGTCTATAATAGAGCCTATACTTATATGTGTGTGGGAGCCGTGGTGAGGTCACAGACTGTACGGATAGCGAAAGCATCCAATCATCTACAGCTCGACACTCGCGCTAATGTAGACTTCCGGTCCTGATCAGATCGATCTCCCTGAAACTCAGAATAAGCCGGACGAACTGCAGTGCCAGCACCACTTCATTTCTCCAACCAGCTTCTTGGCGCAAGCTGCTACACAAGCACGCCTGGTAACGGCTATGCAAACGGGCGGGTAGGTTGGAATTCCCTTGACGGGATGTTCCTGTTTGTCCCCCCTCCCCCCCCATACTGCTCAGAATCCAAACCTTATCAAACCTTTCGGTACTTCAACCTCCTGACGCCCTGTCACACAAGAAGGCAATGCCGAGGCCCCGAGAAAGAGCGGAAGCCCCAGATTCAGTCTCGAATGCGTTTGAACCCTCTAGCAACACAAGAGGAGCTCCTTGAGTACACCAGAGCTCGCCGAACCCATCCGCTCGAAGCGGCTCGCCTTAAATGGTCTGCGGGCTTTGAGGCTACGGTAATGAGAATAGAAAGTCCTGGGCATCGGGATCGAGTAAAACCAGGAGCCCACATGGGGTCCAGGCAAGAGCCAGCTTGTCCTGATTCTGCTGAGTTCAAGTGATGTACGTGAATATTGACTCGTGCGACACTATTCTTCACAGCCGGGTCGCGTGGTCCCGTCTCTTCACATCGGTATCTTCCACGGACACCGGATCGCGCAAGACCTGGCTGCCGCTGTTCGCGTGTCCGTGCTGTGCAAACTTGTCAGACTATGCCGAGGATGTGTCTGCAGCAAAATACAGCGTAGTACACATCATAGACACACATACATTTACTATATGTATATGAAAAACACTGCACAGAAATACATATGAAAAGCCAATACATGTAGTTGTACATGTGCATGTAAATGCACATCTCCATACACATATACATACGTACACACATATATGCACATATAAATATATAAATATAAATATAAATATAAATATAAATATAAATATATATATATATATATATATCACATATCATACATATATATATATATACACAAGCATACATGCATGCATGCATGCATGCATGCACACATACACGCACATACGTATGCCGATGCGCGTGCGTATACAGGTACATGCACATCTGCACATGCACATTCGTATATAACATATACAGAAGCAACTGCATATACTCATGAAGAAAGATATACATACTGCTTGCTTATTGACAAATCTGCTCCCACCACTCCAAGGATGCTCGATTTTGTAATGTTTTCCAGGATCGCGGACTGTGTCGTAGAACGTAAAGTCGTAAAGTGCAAGTGCGGTCAGGAAGGACTGGACCTTGAGGGGTCAGAAAATACGAGCATATGCAGTGCAGATGCTGCAGGCTACGAAGTTCAGCGGCAAACATGCTTTGCTGGCATGCTTTGTGTATTGACCTTCTCAGCATCTCAATCATTTGTCCACCCGGGTTCGTCGGCCCTTGAGCCATACTATCTCGTGTTCGACATTTGCAACTCTTAACTGTTTGGTCTGCCAAATCATTTGTAGCCCTCATGATCACAGCGACCCCAAGCCCTACTGTGACAGACAAACCGATGTAGAATCGAGAGTGAAAGATGTGAATAGTGTTGCTGAATAGGTTAAGTGTGTAGCCCCTGCAACAATCTTGCTATAGTAACGATACTAGAAGGAAAAAGTGTTTAACCATTCGGTAGTTATGGGCCTTGGGTCTGCCTTGTGAAAAAGTCAGGAACTCTGTACTTCGACACTTATCGTGCTTCGGCACCTCTATCAGTTGTAAAGCCCAGACGGCTTCGGCATCAGCAACAGGCCGAGTTGCAATGTGCAATAATGCAGTTTGGATTGCAAAACAAGCAAAACACTGAAATACACATCTACATGTGTGTGTCTGTACACACATATATATATATGTATATATATATATACACACACATGCGTTTGCGTGTATAAATATGCAAACACTAATACTATGTAAGTGTAGAGTGTTTATACCGATCTATATATATATGGGGCTCATATACACATACATATGTGAATATATACAAACGGATGGATGTATATCTACATGTGCATAAACGGATGTCTGTATGTGTGTAGAAAAATGTACGCACATACGACATCTTACATGCGTCATATAGATATAGATGTAGATATATATATATATACATACACACTTACATACATACATGTCTCTATTTAACGTGTGCAAACGGATATAAATAAACATGCAGAGCGTTGCAACGGAGTGGCCGAAGTGCCTTTTCTGTGCAATTGTCAACATGTGTATCCGAAGGTCCGGCTCGGTGCCATGGCGCTGGCGCTTGGCGTCGCTCTGCATGACACACACCCACATCTTTGTCCGAAGGGAACCGCAGATCCAAGCCAAGTTTTGGACCGCAGTGCTACTCGAGACTCCAGTATTGCTCAAACCGTAGACCCAAAGCGCAGAAGAACGCCCGCCTTCGTCTGGCCCTGCACGCGTACCACGTGAAACTCTGCCATCTTGCGGCCAATGGAAGAAGGTTCCTGGGACTTGGGTAACTTACTTACCGGAAGCGTACATTGGAGATAAATACCTGGATGCATGCAGTAGTAGAAGCAATACTCAATACTCCTCAACATGATACCTTCGTACATGGATGACCGCGCTACATAGCCAGCTGCTAAGTCCGAGGCACTGAGAACCCAAAACCATGGACGTCTTACTCTGAAAGCCTACAGGTGCTACGGGACATCCAGCTCCAAACTTTGGGGCATCATGCAAAGACACTCTGTGGCTTTGGCTCTATAGCGAATACATGTGTCTAACTACTCAGCGAACACTGCCTGCTAATGTGGACATGCGTGCACACCCTAATTATGCTGATTGCCAGACTCGCTTGACCAGATCCACGCACTGATATTCCCGGTATAGACTCAGCCCATGATAGTAGAAATGCTTTGTATCTTGCTCGTGCGGCAGGTCGTTTCTGTAGACACACTCTCTGTGTATACATACCTCGCTAAGGCATGTATATTATGTAGTTGCATATATTTGTTGGAGCATCAGTACGTCTTTAGCCAAGGAAGGCATGTACGGCTCCAATCATTTGCTCGAGCGTCGTCCGACTTCGTCCTCTGGACCTGCACGTGGGTTCACGAAGTGACAGCACAGGAAAATGGGAAGCGACTGCACCCTGAAAGTACGTCAAGGTTGCCAAATATTGGAGACGCTTACAATGGAAGTTTTTTGGCTCGGTATGTAGAGTCAAGCTGTGGGGTTTAGTGTGCGGGGTCCGGGACTTGGGAGGTACCGAGACGACGACTAACTCGGCATGGTTGTAGTGTTCTTTCAGCAAGCATGCAGCACGCAGTCCGCATAAGCTCTGCAAAATACCGCATGCACCGAAAACAATCCCAGACAAGCCAGGAAAATGTGCCGTAACTTGATGACACGAAGCGCCCCATGTAGTTCCGGTATGCCTGTGCCAGATCCATCTCAGTCAGTTTCCTTGGCTGCATGAAACTCTATGGCACTCGATGCCCATGTCCAACGGACTGCGAGTCAGAGACTAGGACATGACTAGGACAACACCCGTCCAAGCAAAAACCACCGACACCCCCTCCCCAACTGATTTTCGCAGCTCGCGTCTGCGTTTGAAGCTTGCAACGGATAGACATAACACAAGGCCACGGCAAGTTCTCCTTGTAAGCACCGACTTTTGCAAGCCTAATTATCCGAAAATGGTCGATGAGGAGGATTGTGAAGAAGCTGGTGCTAGATACTGCTTGATTGACATCACTAATCACCATAGGCGAACACCCCCTCCAATAAGGAGGAGGTGACATCACTAGTTTCACTGTCCACTGAAGCACTGCCGTGCAAACAAATGACACTCCCTCCGCAGAGTCTGCTGGCATCTTGTCTGTCCTCAGCTCTGAAACATCGACGAAAGCCGAGTCCCTTCCCAGTGCATCTGCATCGAATCGGCTGGTTGACAACTGATTGATCAAACCCGTGTCCAGCGCTTCTATCATCCATGAGTGCCTTGTCTTTCGAGAAGCCATCACATCGCCCAGAATCCACTCGATGCTCGGGGTTGCGCTGAACTGCATGGTTCTGTCGGCCGAATCGTGCGGGTTCAGTGTTCCGCCTAGAGATTAATCGAAATATGTATTCCGAACCTTCTTACATAACATGCCTAAGCATGAGAAGAGGCGGCACCCATAGCTTCAGCCAAGCATCACATCCGGAGTCCATCGGTTGGTCCTTGGCTGATCGTCGAGAGACCCTCTGTGGCACCTTCCTGCCTCCTGCATCGCTCCGGAGCTCTGTTAAAGCTACCGGTCGCTCCGAGTCCTCAGGCCCCTGTCACCTGCATTGCGCTTTCGAATGCCAAGGATCGCCTCACTCTTCAACCTCATTCCTCTGCACGAGCCTCAGCCACAATTCGGCATCTTATGTTGCTGCGCTCACGGCTCAGACTATGGGCCCGTTTCCGCAAAACGCTCCACGGCATGATGGCCAACTGCCCGCAACTCTGCATATCAATTATCTAACCTTCTTGTGTGCCACTCAGTCGACTGATGGGGGTTTTGGGCGGAGTTTTGTTGCTGCCTGCCCACGAATGTGGATCTTGAGCCCTTCCACATGGACCGTTTCATCTTGTCCGGCATCCAGAGCCTCATGCCTAAAGTTGGCCTGGGGTTCTAAAAGGCAGTCGCTACGCCTCGAAGGTCTGCGGTATACGAACACACTGAGGTGGCGTTCGATCGCATTGGCAGGCTCATTGGCGGAAACCTTGAATTCAACCTTATCGATATCGTTCTGATACCCGGCGTCTCGGGATTAAGTTTGGACCCCGAAGTGTAAAGCCACGTGCCCTTTGCTGCACAGGGCCAGCAGCTGATGCAGCTCCTGGAGGATCTCATGGTGACGGATCGCCAACTCCTCGCGCTCTCTCTGAAGTGAGGCGTCCAACCTGGGGCCGCGCTGCGCGGCTTCCGGGTAGCAAGGCAAGCGAAGGCAGATGTGCCTCTGGCAGTATTGCGGGCATTCTCGGAAACCTCTAGGCGTGACGTTACTTGACATGTAATCCGCTGGACCGACAACTTGAGAATAGGCAGCTGGAAACGGCTTGTCGCCTAAATCCTCCGTGTCCTTCTGGGATAGATGGTCGTTTGCAACCCATAGGAGCGACTGAGAGTCACGCACGAAATTGAAAGAGCTTGCCTTCAGCCCTCCCTTCTTCAGCGCGCTAGTCTTGCTTGTGTATCTTCATCCCGTCCCCTGGCCTTAATAAAAAAGCATAGCAGAACCGTCCCCCAACCCCCTGCAACATTACATTGGGAGTGGGGATGGGCTTTCTGCAATCCGCCGACCCTGCAGTTCACGTCGTTGCTCTCGCAACCCAACCATTCTTCAGACGAGGCTTGAAGCTCAGGGATGCAGCTGAGGCACCAGGAAAAGAGGTCTCGCGTGGCCATTCCGGGCAGTTCGCGGCAAACCCGGCGAACCCAACAACCCGGCGAGTGCGGCAGGCCGTCCGGTCAACAGCTAAATGGCTAAATCTAGACCCCAAACTCAATCTGTATCAAGGAAGTCTGAAACCCAAGCTTTCTTTCAACCCTACATCAACTGGCCGAGTGCTTGCAGATCCGATGGCAGCAGGCACAGAGCTAACCAACACAGTTAGGTGCAAAATCAAGACCGTTGGACCTTCAACACTTCAACGCTCCCTTGCGGCATAGATCCAACCTTAGAATGACTTAGGGGCCCTTGTAGCAGGCTCGTTGTACGTCCGTAAGCTCATGCTTCGTGCACACACACATACACACAGGTGGGCCCCGGACCTTGATCGCCCCTGTGAGAAACGACTGAGGACAAGGATTTCTTTACCAGAAGAACGGAGAAGGATGCGACTCGCCTTCTAGTAGCACCGAGGAGCTGCAGACCAGTGCCCGAAGGTTCTGTATATGGTTAGGAAGCAAGTCCTCTCCAGATTGCTGATAGCAACGCCAAGTGGGAGACCCGCCCTCGCAACCCCGCCGCGCCCTGGCAGCGTCGACTTTGCTGAAAGCATCTTCCAGGAGTTCGAAGGAGCTGGGCCCTGCAAGTTCCTGGCACTGCAAAGTATGGAGATCAAACATTCAGGACTTAGGAGCTGAGGTTTAGAGCAACGGGTCAGATCCAAGGTGTGGGACCACAATACTGGAATGCCTTCGGCTGGCACGAGGCTACAGGCGGACCGGCGGAATTACAAAGCAAGGTACGACTTGAGGTGCAAGTGGGCAGAAGCCCCAACAGAAACCAAATCGCGTCTTCGTGGATGTGAAACGTGCCGAGAGCGACAGCAGCAGCAGCAGCAGCAGCAGCAACAAGACAAGTAATTTCTCTTGAATTTTGCACTACGGAGTACTGTAAACGACTGTACGAAAGCAGGCGCATGAAATCACATGAAGCATGCTGTAACAATCACTCACCCCATCCTCAGACCACATTCTGCACTACCACAACAATCATCATCATCATCAGCAGCGCCACCATGATCATCAGCACCCTCATCATCCTGCAAGACCGCGCATCACGCACCACCACCACCACCACCACC